AGGACTATGATGAATCAGAGACTACATTATTAATTTTAACTCAAGACGCTTTTAAAATACATCTTTTGATACATACACTGTAGATTTTTTTCTGAGTGTACGTTACAACTCTAATCTTATTTGGGACTAATGGCAGACCACTGTGAATTTCAGAGGCTTCACAGACACAGAGCTCATCGTTACAGCCACTTCTGAACAGAACAGAGCCACCCGTCCCCTCAGCATATGGCAATGCATTCTTTAAACATGATTCTTTATGGTTATGTTGTTTTCTAGCAAAAGACAGAGGCCACCATGTTAAGAGTTCTGAGCTATACACACCTCCTTGGGAGCTTTCACCTTTGTAGCTGGTCCATTCCACACTAACAATCCCAATCACTAGGAGAACTTTCTCTGCAAGAGCTTATTTGCTCTCTCTCACTCAAACGCACACACATATACTTCCTGGTATTTTATATGCAGAAAGAAAAGTATCTAAGGATGATCAGAACAGAACATCTTTTAATACCTGGCAAATTTAACAGAGCTGCCTCTCCACTACAGTTACCTGTGAATTGTGACAGATGACCACAAAATAAAGTCATGTTTACTCTTTAAAAAATAATCTATATTTGAATTTTCTTAGCAGCAAAAAGCCCAGGAACGTTTTCCTAAACTCCCTGACAATAATAAAACAACAGCTTTGATCCCTCTGTTTCTAAAAATCACGCTAAGAGAGCCAACCTTTATTTGCCATTTACAGTCACCATATACCACCATTCACTATCACCAAAGCTTCACAAAAGATGCTTACTTTGAACACTAAGAAAACAAGGACATCATTAAAAAAAATTTTAAAGGACAGCTCCTTAATTGTGTAAATTTGGATTTATGAAAAACTCCAGGTTGCTGTGTTAGTTGCCATGAAATCGATTCCAACTCACGGCGACTCCATTTGTGCAGAAGAACTGTGCTCCACAGAGTTCTCAAGGCTGTGACCTTCTGGAAGGAGATTACCAGGCCTATCTTCTTAGGCACCTCTGGGTGGGTTCGACAGCAACCTTTTGGCTAGTAGTCGAGCACCTAAACACATGCACCCCTGAAGACCTAAAACTCCCCATATTGTCCTTGTTTTCTCATTATACTAAGGCCCACTCAAGACTCCATTCCAGACAAACACGGGCTGGTGGACAGGGGCCCGACCAGAGTCTCCAAGATTTGTTCTCGCCAACCTCACGAAAGCACCCTGTCTTCGAGGAGGGACCACAATGTCGTGGAAACTGGTAAGAAGACCCAGTCCTACCCATGGCTGAACAGGACTCTGCAGGCAAAGATTCATTAACTGTTCTGGGGTTTTTTTTTTTTAACATTTTATTATGGTTTAGGCGAAAGTTTACGGAACAGATTAGTTTCCCAAACAACAATTTATATACAGATTGTTTCGTGACATTGGTTACAAACCCCTGAATATGTCAGCACTCTTCCCCCTTGTTCCCTGGGTTCCTTGAGTCCATTTGTCCAGCTTTCCTGCACCTACCTTCCTTCTGAACTTTGCTTTCGGACAAGGTGTACATTCCTTATTCCTTATTGAAGTGTTATTGTTCATTTTATGTTGTGGTTATCAGGTGCCATCGAGTCAGTTCTGACTCACAGCAACCTTATGTAAAACAGAAAAAAACACTGCCCAGTCCTGCACCATCCTCACAATTATTGCTATGTTTGAGCTCATCGTTGCTGACACTGTGTCAACCCATCTTGTTGAGGGTCTTCCTCTCCTTCGCTGACCCTCTACTTTACCAAACATGATGTCCTTCTCCAGGGACTGGTCCCTCCTGATAACATGTCCATGATAACTGGTGTTACTGTTCATTTTATAGGCCTATTACATGGCTATAATGTGATCTCTGGGAGTGACTTCAGTTTGAAGTTTGAAGGGTGTCTAAGGGCCACAGTCTCAGGGGTTCCACCAGTCTCTATCAGACCAGTAAGTCCAGTCTTATTTATGAGCCTGAATTTTGTTCTACATTTCTCTCCCATTCTGTCCATACTATTGCGGTCCTGATCAAAGCTGTCAGCAGTGTTAGCTGGCCACCATTTAGTTCTTCTGGTCTCAGGCTCGTGGAGGCCGTGGTTCATGTGGTGCATTAGTCCTCTGGACTATTTCCTTTAGTCTGTGGTTTTCTTCACCCTTCTTTGCTCCAGACAGGAAGAGACCACTCATATCTTAGATGACTGCTCACAAGCTTTTAAGATCCCAGTCGCTACTCACCAAGGTAGGATGTAGAACACTGTCTGCATTATGATATGCCAATTGACCTAGACGTCCCTAAGACTATGGTCTCTAGCCCTCAAGCCCAGCATGTCAGTCCCAGAAAGTGTATGGTTATGGCTAAGTTTTCATGACTGTGTCCCCTGTGTGCACTATTGCACATGTAGGTATATTTCCAGTATGTACACATATATATGTACGTGGGTGTGCTTCCATATGCCCTCTGACCCCTGTTCAGCTTCCATATCTACCTATGTATCCCCTTGTACATTACTGTTTATTACTGCTGTTGCAGGATTTTATACGTATTAATATTTCCCATTGTTTCTTTTACTCTTGCGTATGTTTCAGTGTCTTTCTTTACCTTGATTATGTCATGCTGACTTCCCCCATACTATGTATTACCTCTCCCTTCACCAAAGTTAGTATGTGTCTACTATCTAGTTAGTGGTTACCCCCAACCAATCCCTGGTAACCATCAAAGAATGTTTGTCTGTGTGAAAATCTTTTCCTGACTTTTTACAATAGTGGTCTCATACAATATTTGTCCTTTTGTGACTGACTTATTTCACTCAGCATAATGTCCTCCAGGTTCATCCATGCTGTAAGCTGTTTCACGGATTCATTATTCTTTAACACTGAGTAGTATTCCATTGTATGTATGTACCAGTTTGCTGATGGGCACTAGGCGGTTTCTATCTTTTTGCTTTTGTAAATAATATTGCAATGAACCTGGGTGTGCATATGTCTATTCATGTCACAGTTATTATTTCTCTAGAATATATACCTATAAGTGGGATTGCTGGATCATATGGTATTTAGACTTCTAGCTTTTTGAGGAAGTGCCACACTGTTTCCCACAGTGGTTCTAAGGACCCATTAACTGCTAAAATTGGCCCCTCAAACTCCTTTCCATACCTCACATTTTACAGATGAGGAAATGAAGGTCTAGAAAGGAAAGCTGAACTGCCCAAAGTTGTGAAGCCAAAGAAAATGTCTCTAGCCTCCTGACACTCTGCCATAGTTCCTCTACTGAGCTGGGTCATTTGCGTAACATGGACAAGTTCACCATGTGATTTAAATACGTATATGGCCACAAGACAAGTCTTATGCATTATAAAAACCCAACCCTGACAGTAATGTTTAACCTAAGCTATACTATCATCTGAGTCATATGAAATACAAGATATGCTATGTCAAGTTAGTTATAAAGGGAGCCTCCACCTCAGAGAAAAACCACTTCTCAAGATGACACACTACAGATATGTACTCAAAACGTCCAAGTTTAAAACAGAAATTCTGATAGAAACTTCACCTTAACCACAACTATTGTTAAGTCCTCTCCACTCGCTCACACACACTGTACTTGATACTAAGGTACCTGTACCTCTACCAAGACGCAGTGATAAAGCTTTTCCACAGCAAAAGTCACTTTTTTACTAAAAACTAATGTCAAGAAAATCCCCACGCACCCGAGTGTGAATGTACAGGCAATTACAGAGCATCCACCAGCTACCCAAAGTGGCTGAGTCTTTGAAGATTGCTTTGTACACACTAAATCAAAGGGGAAAAGGAGACATTTTTATGGAGGAAAAAATGATTGAATCAGCCAATTCTTTATAGAAAAAATTTTTATCCAGATCAACACTCTACTTTTTCTTTTCCCCATATGCCCTTCTATACTGCCTGTTTTATAACGCACTGTATTTTTATTGATATACAGAAACAAAACACATGCCATTTAAACAATCTTCACATGTACAGTTCAGTGACATGTTCATCACGTTGTTCACCCATCGCCATTAACAGTTCCCTTGTACTGTATTATTTCTCTACCTTGTTTTTAATTATTAAAAATACTACTATAGACCCTTTGGTATCACTCACACTGGCAAAACTAAGGTCCCCTCAAACCACCAGAGATGACTGCCGTCATCCTTCTGGATGGGAGCAAACGTTATTGGGTTCTGCAGCATTATTTAACTTTCCTGGAATCTGTCCTAAACTCAGGAAACATTATTAACGGCCTGAGAGACTCTCTCTACATTTTTCCTGTAATCCACATAAAGCAGCAAATTTACGGAAATTCTCCCTGCCTCCCAGTGCTTACAGGCGAGTTATCCGTTTCCCTGCATTTGAATGATCACACGGATTCCCAATTGGTGTGTAAACAGGCTGGAACGACCTAGAAACCGATTCCTTTTCCAGCCATCTCCAAGGGAGCTGCCCAAGAATGCACTAGTAGGACTTTAACTCAACCATAACGCCTCACAATGACCAGATTGCTGGAAACGCACAACTTCCTCAGCAAAATACCGGATTACTTATATCCAAATGGATGCAATGGCTTGGCCTCTGAGAATTAAGCGGGTCTCAAGAAAAGGGGGATTTCGCCGTCTTCGGACTGGCTCCCAGCCGAGCGAGGTCAAGGCGGGGGCGACGCGGGGGACTCCGCTCCGGGTCCTGTCTTGCTGGGGGCTGGGGCCTCTCCGGGACAGGAAAAAGGCAAACGGGAAGGTCGTGTCCAGCCCATAGGAGGCCGCGGGCCGGAGCCCCAGAACCTGCCAGGGCCCCCACAGCCAGGGACAGCTCGGGCCCGAGGATACGGCGCAGGCGCGGGAGGGAGGCCAAGGAGACTGCGCAGGCGCAGGCCGCCGGGGTCTGCAGGGCCGCTCGGGCCTGGCCGCGCGGGCGCGCTGAGGAGAGTCGGACCCGCCGGCGCACAGAAAGGGGATCTGGACCGTGCTCTTACCGCGCGGCGCCCCCTGGCTCGCTTGCTGGCTCCGGGCTAGGGCCGGACGGCCAGCTCGCCGGGTGGCGAGACCCGGATCCGTTGAGTCCGGCCTCAGAGTAGCAGCCAACCCCCCAGCTCCGCTCGCAGCCCCCGCCCTCGGCCCGCCCCTAGTCTGGCTCCTCCTCCGCTTCGCTTGGCCTCCGCCAAAAGCGCTGACGCCGCGATGGCTCCGCCCACTCCGCGCTCCCGGCCGGCTCCGCCCCGGTTCGCGCAGGCGCCCTGCGGCCCGCTCGGTCGAAGTCCCGGGCAGCCAGTGCGCATGCATCAGGGCTCGCGCAGGCGCTTTGGAAGGTGGGTGCTCGGGGAGGGCAGGTGACAGCCAGGTAGTGGGCGGTGATGGCCCTCTGTTCCCAAGGCTTTCTTCAGCAACTAGGTCCACCACTCATGCAGCGCGTATTTCTAGGACGGTGCTAACCGTTAGCGAGACAGTGATTAAAAAAAAAAAAAACTGCCTTCTTGGCGGTGCCAGTGTAGCGCGGACATGGACGTGAACAAGGGAACAACCAAAAAAGAAGGCTGAATGTCCTTCCTCAAGTTAGGAAATGGTTCTATTTATAGTTTGAACTAGATTCATAGATTTTTCTTGTATTACATCATCTTTTTTTCTGGGGAAAACTGAACTTGGTCTTGGTGTAGTTTGAATTGTTAAAAATAATCAAAACGCGAAGAAATTCAAACATGATGTTTACTATGAGCAGTTATTCTGTATACATATAGGGAGACCATTCTGATTCAAAATCCAAATTCGTTGTCGCGGAGTCGATTCAGATTCATAGCGACACTGTAGGACACGGTAGAACTGCCCATAGAGTTTCCAAGGAGCACCTGGTGGATTCAAACTGCTGCTGACCTTTTGGTTAGCAGCCATAGCACTTCACCACTACACTACTAGGGTTTCCATCCTGATTCCAGAAAAAAGCAAATCACTTGAAGTAGGCTGGTTATGCATTACCTGTCTGTCAGTTTGTCATAGTGTGGAGGCTTGCATGTTGCTGTGATACTGGAAGCTTTGCCACTGGTATTTCAAATACCAGCAGGGTCACCCGTGGTGGGCACGTTTCAGGGGAACTTCCAGAATAAGACAGACTAGGAAGAAGGATCTTCAAGCCTACTTCTGAAAGAATTGGCCAGTGAAAACCTTATGAACAACAGCAGAACATTATCTGATACAGTGCTGGAAGATGAGTCCCTCAGGTTGGAAGGCACTCAGAATAGACTGGGGAAGAGCTGCCTCCTCAAAGTAGCCAAAAAAAAAAAAAAAAAACCCAAACCCGTTGCCATCAAGTCGATCCTGACTCATAGTGACCCTACACGGCAGAGTAGAACTGTTCCATAGGGTTTCCAAGGAGTGGCTGGTGGATTCAAACTGCGAACATTTTGGTTGTTAGCCGTAGCTCTAAATCACTGCGCCACTTCAATTTCTTCATCTTCAGCCTTAGTGGTTGGTGTGTAAATTTGAATAATAGTCATATTAACTGGTCTTCCTTGTAGGTTTATGGGTATTATCCTATCAATGATAGCGTTGTACTTAAGGATAGATCTTGAAATGTCTTTTGACAATGAATGCAATGCCATTCCTCTTCAATTTGTCATTCCCAGCATAGTAGACCATATGATTGTCAGATTCAGAATGGCCAATACCAGTCTATTTTAGCTGACTAATGCCTAGGATATCCATCTTTATGCATTCCATTTCATTTTTGATGACTTCCAATTTTCCTAGATTCATTCTTCGTACATTCCACGTTCCAATTATTAATGGATGTTTGCAGCTGTTTCTTCTCATTGAGTCATGCCACATCAGCAAATGAAGGTCCGGACACGAGGTCAATTCCAACTCATGGCAACCTCATGTGTCAGAGTAGAACTGTGCTCCATATGGTTTTCAATGGCTGATTTTTCAGAAGTAGATCACCAGTGTTTCTTCCAAGGCACTTCTGGGTGGGTTCAAACCTTCAGTTAGCAGCCAACTGCATTAACCATTGCACCACCTAGGGACTCTGGTTCCAGAGATTAGGCCCTGATATCTTTGGGTGGTCATTCCTGAGCCTTCTACAGTATGCATTATTTTGTGTCTGCCTTCTTTCCCTCAACATATGGCCCTTAGATTCATCTTTTTGCATGTATCTGTGGCTTATACATTCTGATTGCTATTTAGAATTGAATTGTATTTCCCAAAAAGTTATGTTGAGGTCCTAACCCCTGTACCTGTAAATGTGACCCTGTTTGGAAATAAGGGTTTTCTTTTGTTATGTTAATGAGGTCATACCAGAATAGGGTAGATCCTAAACCTAATCACTTCTGAGTGGTGTCTCATAAAAAGAGTAGACAGACACAGAGACACACACAGGAGGAAGACGGACACCATGTGAAGACATGTCTACAAGCAAAGGAACTCTAAGAATCTCCAGCAGACATCAGAAACTAGGAGACAGGCTCATGGTAGGAATCGACATAGCCAAGACCTTGATTTGGACTTCTAGCTTCCAGAACTGTGAGAATACATTTCTGTTTTTTAAAGCCACCCACTTGTGGTATTTCTCTTAAGGTAGCACTAGGGCACTAAGACAGTTGCGTGTAGTATCCTATTCTACAAATATGATTTGGCTTACCCATTCTCCTATTAATGGACATCTGGACTGTCTTCAGTTGTAAGCTGTTAGTGTTGTTGTTAGCTACCATGAAGTCGGACCCTGACTCATGGCCACCCCATGCACAACAGAAAGAAACACTACGCAGTCTCACACCATCCCTATGATGAGTTACAGATCCAGCTCAGACCGTTGTGAGCCATAGGATTTTCACTGGCTGATTTGTGGAAGTAGATAGCCAGGACTTTCTTCCTAGTCTGTCTCCGTCTAGAAGCTCTGCTGAAACCTGTTCACGGAAACCTGTTTGTTTGTTTGCAACATGTAAGGCTCCACTGACAGATGGGTGGTTGCTGTGTATGAGGTGCATTGGCCAGAAACGGAACCTGGATCTTTTTCATGGAATGCAAGAATTCTACCAGTGAACTACCACAGCCTCAAAGAGGGTCACTGATGTCTTCAATAGAAAACTATGGGTTGCTAGAGCACACCTTTCTAGGTTATCTGATTCTGATTCTGTAGGGGCTCTGGGCCTTTTATTGCTTTTGACGTCATTTGTTGCTGTTGCTGCTGTTGTTGCAGTGGAGTCAATCCCAACTCTTGGCAATCCCATGTGTGCAGAATAGAGCTGTTCTGCAGGGTTTTCTGAAAAAATTGACGGCAATGCAAGCGATCATTTTCTAGGGACATCCCTCCCCTGCAGTGGAAAAGCCAGTTTTTTTTTTTAATATATATACATATATATTTTTTATTGTACTTCAGGTGAAGGCTTACAGAACAAATAGTTTC